AAGCTCTGGTTCAGTTCTGTTATTTCTTTGCTAAGTTTTTGTCTGGTTGACCTATCTTTTGGGGATAAGGGGGTGTTAAGGTCTCCTGTTAAGATCTGTTGGTGTTTTGTAGTCAGCACTGTCCTTTTTTTTTAGGGTCATCCATGCCACAACATGTATCATTATTTCATTCCTTTTTAAGGGCGAGAAGTACACCACTGTTTTGGATTTGCCACTCTGGGCCACTGCTTATTGTGCATCAGTCAGTGGACATTTGGATTATAAAGCTTTTGTGGCTACAACGAATGGTGCTTGAAGCAACACGTGTGTACAGATCGCTGTGTAGACGCGTGTTCTCAGTTGCTGGAATGCTAAATGCCGAGTTACAGGTTGAATGTGTTTCATGCTGGAAGAAACGGTCAGGCTATTTTTGAATAGTTGGATCAGTTTACATTTCCACCCATAATATAGAAGAGTTCCAGTTTGGCTACCTTGTCTTTTTATTGTCACCATTCTAGTGGGTGTGGTGTTTCCTTATAGTTTTAATTTGCATTTCTTTCATGATGGATGGTGAACATTTTTATGGCCTTATTTGGTATTTGCTTATATATCTTCCTTGGTGAAATGTCTATTCAAATCTTTTGGTTGTTGATCTTATATTTTATGACTACCTCCTACAATCTAGATTACAAGCCCTATATCATGTTTTCGCTCCATCTGTGGCTCATCTTGATTTTCTCAGTGGTATCTTTCAAAGTGGAAATGTTTTCAATTTTGATGAACTCCAGTGTAATGCTTTTCCCGCCGTGGATTGTATTCTGTGTGTTGTATCAAAGAATTCTCCCTAACCCAAGGTGCATATATTTTACATGAAGTACTAGGGTTGAAACCAGGCCCTCTGTCCTGAGTTACATACTCAGCTCTTCTTATTTTTAATTTTGAGACGGGTCTTGCAATGTCATTAAGATGCCTGAGCTGTGTTCAAAATCACAGCTCCACCGCTCAGTCTTGCGGAGTGCAGGATTACCAGGGCGCCACCATGGCTAGCTTACACGCCACCAACTGGCTTCTCCTGTTCAATGTTAGAGCTTTGCAGACACCTTAGACAGAAACCTTTCTCTCCCCTGCAAAACACTTTTCCCTGTCCCTCGTCTCTGCCCTCATCCTGCAGGCCCCAGTCCAGGTTGCGTCAGTTCCAGTGAATCTCTAGGTCGCCTGAGTCCTCACACAAACTCATTAGGGCTGTGCTTGTCTGCTGTCTCCTCGTCCTCCTTGTCCTCTTCCTCCTCCTCCCCGCCTTCCCCTCCCCTCCCTCGCCCCCTCCAGCTCCACAGGGACAAGAACTGCATCTTTTGCTGCTCTACGCTGAGGCTTCCACCCAGGAAGTCGGGGTTCCCTGAACAGCTTCTGAATGTACAGAGCAGTGTGGAGCCGTCTGAGGAGGCCGAGCCCACCTAGCTCAGTTCTCTCTGGCCTTTGCCTGGGGTCCAGGCAGGCTCAGCACTGCCTCCCCGGAGAACCTGGCTGTGTTGCCCAGCTGCCTGCCCCGCCGGAAGGTTTTACCTGCCCACCACCATGAGCTCTCTCTCAGAGGCCCGCGGCCGGATGTGATTCCAGAGGTCCATGGTGAAGATTGTGCTGGCACTGTTAAAGATGGATGTGAGGGAGGACATGAGAGCCGCCACCATCACAGCCATCATGAGCCCACGGAGTCCTGGAGGCAGAAGGGAGGTCTCTGGGCCTCGGGCTTCCTGCCAGCAGCCTCTGCCTTTGCACGGGAGCCTCCTGCCCCAGGCCCAAGGCTCGCCGGTTCCCGAGGCTCTGAGAAGGCAGAACCTTGGAGAGGATGGCTTCGGGAGACCTGGAGCTGGGCTCGGGCTGTGAGGCTGTAGCCTGTGCCTGCCCTTGTCCTCCCTTCTTGGCCCTACCTTAGATCTGAGCCCAGCCAGTGCCGTCTTTCTGGGCGCTCTCGGGACCGAGGAGGTCGAGGGGCCTTACCTGTGGGCAGGAGCTCTAGCACGAGCTTGGGGTAGGCGATGTCAGAGCAGCCCGAGGGGTTGCTGCAGACCTTCTGGCAGATCTCGGGGTGAGCGCAGGCCACCTGATCTGCGGAGGAAACGCGGCCCAGGGTGGAGCGGACAGCCTCAGCCCCGGCCTGGTGCGGCCGGCCTGCAGACAGCCTTACCGTCTCTGTATTTACAGCTCTGTGTCGCAGAGAAGAGCCTAGGCCTTAGAAGCTGTGACTTTGTTACTTGACCTTTCTGGCCTTCAGCTGCCCCAGCTGTAAACTGGGAAAACAGCACAAGATTAGACCTGCAGCTGGCACAGCTGGCTGAGAGGAAACTGGTAAAGGCTCAGAAAGTGCTGAGAACGTCCCCGCTGTCATTCATGTGACCCAAAGAAAGCAGAGACACCCCGCGACCGTCACCACAGTGCCCACGTCCGTCTGCCTGGCCCCAAAGGGGACAAAAGCAATCCCTACCTGGACCAAGGTTCCTCATTGCTTAGGATGTGGAGTTTTGTTAATTTTTTTGAAGTATAGGTTTCTATTTAAAAATCTGACCTACCAATTTAGCACCTTCCACCAATCTTCATGGAGCAGACACTTTCGCAGGCTTCCCAATCTTCTGCTTAGGAGCTGCCTCTGTGGGAGCCGTTGCCCTGGGCCTACTCACCATGCCCAGCATTTTTAGTTTTTTTTTAAATTTTCAAACATGGTTTCACTAAGTTATTAATTTGCCCAAGTGGGACCTGAAGGTATGATTCTCCAGCCTCAGCCTCCCCGACATCCGGGATTACCACCACCATGCAGAACCAAACTTGCCTTGCAGTCTTAGGGACTGAACCCAGCCCACCCACTGAGCAATATTCCCAGCGCCCCCTTTTTCTCAGCCAGGGGCTTGCTCTACAGCTCAGACTGGTCTTGAACTCACAGCGATTCTCCTGCCTCAGCCTCCCAGAATCTGAATACATTTTAAATTCTTTTCCCTGTCATCTCAATAGCTAATAGAATTCAAGAGCTGCTCCTCGTTTTAGACTCTGACTCTACCCTACTAGGGCTGAACTTCCCTCTCTTTCTGCTTTTCTAGAATTTTTTTTTTTTTTTTTTTGTATGGGAGATCAAACTCGGACCCTTACGCTTGCCAGGTAGGGCTTATGCCCCTGAACTGTATCCCCGACCCTTTCTGCTTTTATCAATTATTTGCCCTCCTGTGCGACTTGCCGACTCTCCACGTAAAGCCACCTTCTGCCCTGGCAGCTCCGTTGGTTCATCCCCTGCTGCTACCGGCGCCCACGTTTCTGCTCTGGGTGGGGTACGGCTTGAGTTTCCCTAGGAGCTCACGTGTCGGGGGCTCACGGGTCAGGAGCTCACAGGTCAGGGGCTCACGGGTCAGGGGCTCACAGGTCAGGGGCTCACGGGTCAGGAGATGCGGATGAAAAGTGACGCCCCGGTGGGGAGATGGCTCAGCGGCGTAAGAGCCTGCCGGAAAAGGAACGCTTGGCCCCAAACGTGCATCGTTTTAGACAAAACTAAGGAAGGAGACTAAAAATATTTAATGAGAAGCACTGGGGAGAAATCATCTTACTCAGAATAATACCTGGAAGGTGCAAGTTCTTGGCTTATCACTCTTCTGGGGAAACAGCTTAAAAATATTGACGCTTCTGCCGCAGGCCACCCCCAGCGCCTCCCAGCTGGGCCCGAGGCCTGCTGAGGCTCGGATCGGCGAGCTCCGCCTCTGGTGTTTTCTGCAGGCTGCCTCTCTGCTAGGCCCATCGAGAAGGCGCAGGGCTCCCCCTGACAGATTTCACTGCTAACTACGGAGGTTTTATTTTTCCTGCAAGGAATGCAAGCTTCAACCGTGGGACACAGGCCTGCGGGGCACACAGGACCCCTCCTCGGTGACGTGCTCGCTGTAGGCAATCAGTCAGCTCAGCTAGGTCCTGGTGACAGTTGCAGCCTGCGGCTGGCGACACAGCTCACCTGTGCACTGACCAGCCGTCCCGATACACAGTGAGTTTTCTTTGAAAACTTCAGACCACCATGCCCGGAATAAAGGATGAATCAAATCCAAACAGCGCAAAACCCTCTTTGCAGCCTGCGCCTTCGCTGAGGGCTCACTAGGGCTCAGACGCTGCACACGCACTGTAGGCGCCCGCATTTGATTTGCATGGTTGGGGGCGGATATTGTTCCAAAGGGACTTTTTCTCGTCTTTTTTTTTTTATGATTTTCTTTCTTGGTACTGGGAACCGAACTATGGGCATCACACTTGCAGGTGCTGTGCCGCTGAGCTACATCCCCAGCCAGGAAGATACCGTTATTGTGCTTTTGCTTTTACTTTGCTTTTTCTTTTTCTTTTCTTTCTTTCTTTCTTTCTTTCTTTCTTCCTTCCTTTCTTTCTTTCTTTCTTTCTTTCTTCTTTCTTTTCTTTTCTTTTCTTTTCTTTCTTTCTTTTTTTTTTTTTTTGAGACAAGGTCTTACATATAATCCAGGCTGGGCTTTAACCCATGTAACCCAGGCTGGCCTCAAACTCAGGCAGTCTGCCTGCCTCAGCCTCCCGAGTGATGGGATTACAGCTGTGACCCACCACACCCTGCTGTCCTATTTTAAAGACAAGGAAACTGAGGTGCAGAGGGAAGAAGTAGCCTGCCCAGATCCTACACATGGTAGGTGTGAGAGCTGGGGTGAGGCCTTCACTTCATTCCAAAGCCCAGGTTGGAGAGATCGGCTCTGTAAATAGGCCTATTTTCTAAATTCTCTGTGTGTTTAGTTACCTTGTGTCTTTTAATTTCTATAGGAACTTTTTTTTAAAAAAAGTGCCATTTTTATTTGGACTTGGTGGAGGAGGGTCTTGTCCAGGCTCGACGAGCCTAGCATCGTCCTTTCAGGCAGTTCTGCGCCCACCAGAAGATGTAAGGGGGGCTTGGGGAGTCGGGGCGGAGACAGCAGGAGTGGGACGGTTGCATGGCTGGACCCGGCCTCCCTGGTGGGCGGGGGATTCTCTGCCTTTGGATGTCTGATTAAAAATAAACAGCTGGGCTTCCCCTCAGCCCTTCTGCTTCCGGGCGGGCGGGCCTCAGAGTCTGCATCTCTAAACAAGTTCCCGGCAGAGACTGCTGGGGCCGGGATGCACTTCAGGAAGTATTGGTCCAAGCCTCCAAAGAAGGGAGCGAGAATTGGGATGCACCAGCCCTGCCTTCCTTTCCCTGCCTTACCCCCTCTCTGGAAGCCCTTTGGACTTCTCTAGGACATGATAGAGTATTGTATCTTATTGTTTTATTTGAGACAAGGTCTCACTGTAGTTCAAGCTGACCCTGAGATCATTATGTACCCCAGGCTGGCCTCAAACTTCCGGTGATCCTCCTGCCTCAGCTTCCTGCGTGCTAGGGGTGCAGCGCGCGCCCCCATGCCTGGCATACTGTTTTACTATGTAGTCTATCTTTCTTCCTGAGCGGCCGACTCATCAGCCACATTGTAAATGCCTGTGGTTCGCAGAACACAGCTGTACCTCCTTTAACAATGATTATCGACTGGCTGGTGTTGAAGAGACAGCGGGCTGGTCTTCAGGTCTCACCCAAGGCCTGGGATGTGATGTGCGTGTCCCCCAGGTACACCTAAGCGCAAACCCTGCTTCCCGAGCATCTGTCCCACGGCTGCCAGGATGCGATCCCGGGCTCGATTCTTTCCCCGACCGCTCGGCTCAGGCGCGATCCATGGGCTCCACACGAAAGTCTATTTTCAAAGCATCGTCTGGATCAGCTGCTTCTCCCAGAGACGATTTCCCTACAAACCCTGTCAGAAGCAGCGCTGCCCGCAGAGCTCTCCCTGCACGTTGCCGGCTCACGGCGCTGAGTGCAGCCAGTGCCTTTGCATGTATCCTCCGCCTCCACAGGCGAGTCCCACTACAGCGGGCTCTGCGGGTCTTTCTCCCCAGCAGAGCGTCAGTGTCCGTTAGCATGAGACCCGACAGATCATTTCCTCTCAAAATGTTTCTTAGATACGTGGAAGAATAAATAAATGAATGAGTGAAGTACTTTCTTGAGCTTCAGTTTCCTCATGATTCAGATAGAAATAACCCTAAGTGTGTCTCCCTCATAAAGTCATTCTGAGGATGCAACGAGGTGATGCAGTGGTCCCTTGGTGTCCGTGGGGGCTGGTTCCAGGACCCCCGCAGACATACAAACCTGAAGGGCTGTAGTCCCTGTTATAAAATGCCAGCATGTCTGCATATAACGCCCCCCTACACACACACACACACACACACACACACACACACACTTCTATAAGCTTTATAGAAGATCAAAATGACGAGCCAGGTGCGGTGGGCAATCCCAGCAGAGGCTGAGGCAGGAGGATCACTGCAAGTTCGAGACCAGCCTGGGCTAAAAAGTGAGCTCAAGGCCAGCCAAACCGCAGAGCAGGACCCTGTCTCAAAGACAAAGAAAAAAAAGATCTAAATTACATACAATGGCAACACAACGTGAACGCTGTGAAGAGCTGGTAAACTGCGTTGTTAGGGAATAACAATAAGGAAAACATCTGTAAACGCAGGTCCAATCTGCAGACGGCTGGCTCTGGGGATCCAGAAATGAGGTACACAGAGAGCCACCCGTACTCGCCCAGATATTAGTGTGAACACTCACACCATGGCTTAGTCCACTTTTGTTATTATAAAAACACTCTAGAACAGGGCCAGCCAAACAGCTCAGCAGATTAAAGCGCTTGCAAGCAGGCACAGGGGCCAGGGGTTCGATTCCCAGGCCTGCTGTGCTGGCCCCACCCCGGGGGGCCCTGAGACAGCAATTGAGACTGGGCATGGTGGCACGTGCCTGTAATCCCAGCACTTGGGAGGCTGTAAACAGGAGAATCACTGAGTCTGATCTAAGTCCTATCTACGTAGTAAGACACTATAGACCCTGTGGACCCTTCCCTAAAATACAGAAAGAAAAAAAAAACAGCTAGAGACTGGGCATGATGCCATGTACCTGTAATCCCAGCGCTTGGGAAGCTGAAAACAGGAGGATCACTATGAGTCCAATCTGTAGACTCTGTACTAAACACATAAAAATAAAAAACCACTCTCATCAGGCTACCTGCGAAGTTAGGAGAGACTTCATTTTGCCTCCTGATTCTGGGGGCTCGAGGGATCTGCCACTAGTACCCAAGTCCTGAGAGTGCACGGCACCTCGAGGGCTGCCACCCCAGTACGCCCTTCAGAAGGACCTCTGGGGACTCTACGGCACAGGGCGCTTGGGGGGGGGGTAGGAGCTGCTGAGCCGGTGAGATGTGTTCAAATCTTATTTTACAAATGAAAAGATGGAGACAAAGAGATCGCAAGCTATTCACGGCTCACGCTCAGGAGCTGAGGCGTGGGCCCCATCCCGGACTTTCTTTCACCAACTCTCTCCTCATAATTCTTGCTTCTTGTTTCTTCTTCTTTGTTTTCCAGTTTTTTAAATAGGGTCTCACTGTATAGCTCAGGCTGGCCTCAAACTTGCAGAGATCCTCCTGCCTCAGCCTCCCCAGTGCTGGGATTACAGGCGTGTGCCTCCATGCCTGCTTTACCTCCTAATTCTTAAGAGCTCTAAATTATTCTGATTTAAGTAAGCTAATTAACCAAGCACTTCATACCACATGCCCTCTTTTTCTGTTTTCTTGGTACCAGGGATCAAACTCAGGACCTCATGCTTTCCAGGCAGGCACGTAAGGGACTGAGCTGTCTCTGTGACCCAGCCCTCCATTTTTTAAAAAGAATAAAACAGCAGTAAAAAAAAAAAATTAGAAATGATACAAAATTTGACTAAACAAAATGATGGAATTCAACAAAGGTTGTTAAATTGCATATTGCTGTCTTCAAATTACTTGTTCGGATTACCAGATATATGCAAAGTTGGTCAAAAAAATTAAAAAGAAGAAAAATAAATTTAAGCATTAACTGTTCCTTTCAACAGACCAGCGGGACCCCGCAGCAGGCATCCAAGCCGTCCTGTCATGCGACCCCTTCTAGCCTGTGCGTGGCACCGTGCAGCACGAGGCCCAGCTGTGTTTCCCACTCCCCTGGGATGGCTCTGGAGCCCTGGTGGAGCCGTGGGCTGCTCACTGAAGAAAAAGAGAACTTTTCTCCTGTACTAATCACCAGGCCCCGACTCCACAGCGACCCGAGGTGACGTGTACCTCCTTGGTATAAAACACACTCCTTTGCCACACTGAGAAAGGAAGCATGAAAGCACACGTTCTAGAGGCCTTCACATCCTCTGGTGTTCGTTTAGAAAACCCAAAACAGGCCCTCTTGGCCCAAAGTTGCTAAAGTACCGAACTTAACCTCCAGAGCCGTGAGATGTCAAGGAGCTGATATTGGAGGCCACGCAATTGTAGTCCACTTGGTGGAGTGACAATGTAGAGCTGGGAAGTCCCTGATGAGTTTTCACTCAGCTTGGCCTGCGGCACCCACAGGCAGCACTGCTCACTGAGCCAGTGCCGGGCAAGTCCATCTGGTCACCAGGACCCCACCCCTCTGTCTGGGGGCAGTCAGGGATGAGAGCAGAGTACTTCATGGGGCTGTGGCCGCAGACAGAGGCCTCTGCTCCCAGCTGCTTCCTCACCTGGAAAGAGGACGCGGCTGACCATGCCCGGGAACACCATCAGGAAAAGGGGGAGAACCTTCATGTAGGCGGCCACCAGGGACCCTCCTTTGGCGTGGGACAGGTTCTTGGCTGCCAGACTGCGCTGGACGATCACCTGGAACACGGGAAGGGCAGTTGGAGGCTGACAAGGACCTTCCCGGGAGCAGGTGAGCTGAGCCGTGGCCTGTGAGTGTGGTGGATTGAGTGCTGTTGTTTGCCTTGCTTTGCTTTGAGGGAGAATCTCTTTCTAGTCTCAGGCCTTGAGGTCTAAGCAGGGTGATGGCAGCGCCCACTCTCATCCCTACCTACACCTTTGTCCTGGCCATTTATAGTTCACAGAGTAGGGCTACCATCACCATCATCACCACTGCCACCACCACCACCACCACCACTACCACCATCACCACCACAATCACCATCACCAGCACCACCACTACCACCATCACCACCACCACCACCATCACTATCACCATCACCAGCACCACCACTACCACCATCACCACCACCACCACCATCACTATCACCACCACCACCACCAGCACCAGCACCAGCACCAGCACCACCATCACCACCACCACCACCAGCAT